GTGGTTCTGTGGCTCAAGTGGTAGAGTGCTTGCCTTGAGCTGAAGAGCTGAGGGACAGCACCCAGGCCCAGAGTTCAAGCCCCATGACCGACAAAAAAAAACCCAAAAAATTTCATGCTCTACTCTTTCATTTCTAGAGTCAAAAGATCAACTATATTTCATTATGAAAGAATAAATTCATGTACATTACTCAATCCAGGTGCTGACACATGGTAAGCATTTAATAATAATCACTGTCATCACTACCAATACTGAACCTTCACTGTGGAGAATTTAGTTGTGATTTTCTTGACAGTGTCAGGCTCTATAGCTCAGGATGTCTCAAACTCACAGTCCTCCTGCCTTAGGCTTCCAGGTGCTGGATTACAGGCCTGTGTCACTACGCTAGCTTGTCTTTAAGACTTGTGTGAGTGTGCGTGTGCATGCCAGTCCTAGGGTTAAACTCAGAGACTGGGTGCTGTCCCTGAGCTTTTGTGCTCAAGGCTAGCGCTCTACCACTTAAGCCATAGTTCCATTGCTGGCTTTTTGGTGGTTAATGGAGATGAAGAGTCTCAGACTTTCTTGCCCAGGCTGGCTTTGAGCTGTGACCCTTGGATCTCAGTCTCTGAGTAGCTGGGATTTACAGATGTCAGCCACTGGGGGTGACTGGTTTATCTGTCTCAGTCTACTCAGAGCAAGTATGGGAAAAGAACCCCTTTCTCACAACTTTTGCTGAGTCAAAACAGGGGATCCTAACAACTCAAAACATGTTAATAGGGATAGGAAGATGGCTCAGTGGTAGAGCGCTTGCCTTGCATGCCTGAGGCCCTGGGTTCAATTCCTCAGCCCCACATAAGCAAAAAGAAAAAAAAGCCGGAAGTGGTGCTGTGGCTCAAGTGGTAGAGCGCTAGCCTTGAGCTGAAGAGCTGAGGGACAGCACCCAAGCCCAGAGTTCAGGCCCCACGACCGGACCCAAAAAAAAAACAACAAAAAAAAAAACCATGTTTATAGATTTGGAATTAAGTGTACAGAATTTTCAGCTAATTCTGATGTTTATAAACTGACCAGCATGTTTGTCTCCATTGCCAGAATAGTTCTCCTGACTTCCTATCCCAGTCCTTCAAGTCCAGAAGCTTCACACTCCTGTTTGTAGGTCATGAACAGGAGTCTTGCCAGGAGGCCCAAAAGCTCTTGTCTGGGACTCAAGATGGTACTACCAATTCTTTTCTTTTTTTTTTAATAAGTTATTTATTGTGAAAATACTGTACAGGGGGTTACAGTTACATGAGCAAGGTAATGAGTATGTTTCTTATCCTGTTTTTCCTCTACCATCCCTGTCTTACCACCTCTTCAACTACACTCCACCCTCACTCCCTCCAGCCCTCCCTCCCCCGCCCCCATACTACCAATTCTTACCTGACAACAACTCTCATGATGAAAATTTCCCTCAGTATCTAAAGTGGTACCCAGACTGGGTCATGTTAAACAGTCCCACTAGTGAATGTAAGATACCAACGGGGTTGTCATTACCCATGGCCCTGGGTGGTACCAGCTTAGTTCTCCCTGATGCTCACCCCTTTCGGAGGGTTTTCCTGATGGTAGTCTCTGCAGCTTTCATCTGCCTAGAGAAGCAAAAACCAAGAAATGAATCAGAGTAGCACACTTAACTGGGACTAGAGGCTGCTCAGACCAGCAACCTCCACTAACAGCTAGCTCCCACCTTCCATGCCTGCTCCTCAGGCTGGTGCCTGGCCTTGATGAGGCCTCAGTGCACTCAGAGCAAGTGAGAGGAAAAGAATACCTTTTTCACAACTCTGGCTGAGTCAACACAGGGGACCCTAACAACCACCTCAGCGCTGTAGGGCTTTGTGTCCCCACCCACAGCTTGTCTTGTCATTCTGGTGCCTTTGCTCTCGTGCCCTGGTATTTAATCTTGGCACCAAATCATTTCCAGCAAGGTCTTGTCCTCTCTGCCTCTCTCTCAGTGCTGGGGACCTGACTCACAGTATACATATGCTAGGCAAGCGTGCTACCACAAAGCCACAGATACCAATGATCTGCCCTCACCCAATATCTCGTTTTGGTTTGGTGACTTTTGTAATATCGTTCTCTGAGCCTCCTGAATGAAGATGTCTGGGAACATCAACTTCTTTGGACTTAACAGGTAAGAGACTCTTAAAAGTAGCTCGAGTTTGTGGATCTGCAAGGGAAAACGAGAGGGTGAAGCCTCAAGCATAGCACTGCAGTATTTAACAGCCCCACCCTACATAGCCCCACCCAAGTCACGTGACTTCAATCTGTCAGGCCAAGCCCAATTTGTGAAGATGAATTCAGATTAAGATTACTGTGCTGGATGTTAGTGGCTCACACCTATAATCCTAACTACTCAGGAGGCTGAGATCTAAGCATCACAGTTCAAAGCCAGATTGGAAAATCTATGAGACTTATTGCCAATTAACCAAAAAAGCCAGAAATGGAGCTGTGGCTCAAGTGGTAGAACACTAGCCTTGAGCAAAGAAGATTAGGGAAGGCACCCACGACCTGAGTTAAAGCCCCAGAACTGGCACAAAAAATAAAAATAAAAAATACTTCTAGACTCACTGTAGGGGAACCAAATTCTTCAATTGTGACAACTAAGTGTGGAATAAATGTGAATATAGACATTGATATCAACCAAAGCCCGGGCACTTGTAGCTCACATTTGTAATACTAGATATTCAAGAATTTAAGATCTAGAGGATTGCAGTTCAAAGTCAGTTTGTGCAGAAAAGTCCAAGACCCCCAACTCCAATTACACAGAAAAATGCTAGACTAGAGACATGACTAAGGCAGTAGAGTGCTAGCCAGGAGCAAGAAAACTGAACAAGAGGGGGCTGGGAAGGTGGCTCAGTGGTAGAGCGCTTGCCTTGCACGCCTGAGGCCCTGGGTTCGATTCCTCAGCACCACATAAGCAAAAAGAAAAAAGCCGGAAGTGGCGCTGTGGCTCAAGTGATAGAGCACTAGCCTTGAGCTGAAGAGCTGAGGGACAGTGCCCAGACCCAGAGTTCAGGCCCCACGACCGGACCCAAAAAAAAAAAAAAAAAAGAAAGAAAACTGAACAAGAGCTGAAGGCATTGAGTTCAGGCCCCAGTTCCTCTAACCCTGTCCCCCCACCCCAAACAGTAATGGCAACTAAAGGGAAAATGGAAGTTAGTTGGTAAAACTTATCCAAATCTTCACCAAGCACCAACAGAACAACTGTGCCACCTCATTAAGCTCCCTACACACATCCTAAGGCAACACTCCAGCTGCATTTTATTTATTTATTGCCCATCCTAGGGCTTAAACTCAGGGCCTGGGCACTGTTTCTGAGCCTCTCTGTGGGCAAGGGTAGTGCTCTACCACCTGAGCCACAGCCCCACTTCTGGCTTTTTCCGTTTATGTGATACTAAGGAATAGAACACAGGGCTTCATGCATGCTAGGCACACACTCTGCCACTAAGCCACATTCTCAGCCCCCAGCTGCTTTTTTTTTTGTCGGTCGTGGGGCTTGAACTCTGGGCCTGGGCACTGTCCCTCAGCTCTTCAGCTCAAGGCGAGCGCTCTACCATTTGAGCTACAGCATCACTTCCGGTTTTCTGGTGGTTTATTGGAGATAGGAGTCTCACGTTCTCTCCTGCCCAGGCTGGCTTTGAACCGCGATCCTCAGATCTCAGCCTCCTGAGTAGCTAGGATTACAGGCGTGAGCCACCAGTGCCCAGTCTCAGCTACTTTTTTTTTTTTTTTTTTTTTGGGTCCGGTCGTGGGGCCTGAACTCTGGGCCTGGGCGCTGTCCCTCAGCTCTTCAGCTCAAGGCTAATGCTCTACCACTTGAGCCACAGCGCCACTTCCGGCTTTTTTCTGTTTGCTTATGTGGTGCTGAGGAATCGAACCCAGGGTCTTGAGCATGCACGGCAAGCGCTCTACCACTGAGCCACCTTCCCAGCCCTCAGCTACTTTTTAAATGATGTCTACTGCCACCAAAAGCCATCCAAACCTTCTAGAAGAAATCTGGCACATGACAGAAGGTCCAGAAATAGCTGGTGGAACAAATGAAAGACTGGCTGTAGTCCTTCATCGCTACCTATCTCCTCTCCCCCTAGGCCTCTCTTCTTTCTCTTTCTCTCTCATGCTCTCTCTTTTTGCTAGTTCTGGGGCTTGACTTCAGGTTCTGGACACTGTCCCTGAACTACTTTTTGCTCAAGGCTAGCATTCTTCCACTTGAGCCACAGCCTCATGTCCAGCTTTTTGTTTATGTGGTACTGAAGAATTGAACCCAAGGTGTCATACATGCTAGGCAAGGACTCTACCACTAAGCCACATTCCCAGTCTTCCCTACCCCCCTTTTTCTGGTTGCCAGTCCTGGGTCTTGACAATAAGGATTAGGTTGCTGTTCCTTAGCGTTTTTGCTCAATGTTACCACTTGAGCCACAGCTCTACTTCTGGCTTTAAAAAAAATTTTTATTTTTTGTCAGTCATAGGGCCTGAACTCTGGGCCTGGGCGCTGTCCCTCAGCTCTTCAGCTCAAAGTTAGCACTCTGCCACTTGAGCCACAGCGCCACTTCCGGCTTTTCTGCTTATGTGGTGCAGAGGAATCGAACCCAGGGCTTCATGCATGCAAAGCAAGCACTCTACCACTGAGCCACCTTCCCAGCCCCTATTTCTGGCTTTTTGGTAGGTAACTGGAGATAAGAGTCTCATAGACTTTCCTACCCAGACTGGCTTTGAACTCTGATCTTCAGAGCTCACACACAGGCTTTTGTATTTCTTTTTTGGATCAAACCTAGGGCCTTGCCTATGCTGGGCAAGTGCTCTACACTGAGCCCCACCCCTGGGCCAGGCTTTTCTAGATCATACTAACTTCATTGTGTTCACTGTAAAATGGCCTACTTAAGCATGAAGAGGCATAATAACTAAATCAAGCTGAAATAATGAGGTGCAAAGTGCTCAATCATATTAGTTTGGGGGGAAAATCCCTGCTTCTTTCTTTTCTGGCAGTTTTAGAGTTCCAACTCAGGACTTTGAACTTGTTAGTTAGGCAGGAGCCCAACTACTTGAACTACGTCTCTGGCCCTTTTTCTAACAGGGAGCCACTTCTCCTCCCAAGACCAACCTGAACCATGATCCCCCTATAAATGCTTCCCACAGAGAGGGGTTGACAGGCAGACTCTGAGATGAAGTCCAAAAGTTGTAAAGGGGTGTGGTTACATATACATATATATGTACACACACATATATACAAAATGTATATGTACATATATGTATGTGTGTGTGTATCTGGCTCTTCTCTCCCGCAAGGCCTGGTCCTTGCTGAGCCAAGATTACTATTTCAGGTGTATGTAATAGGAAAGAGAACAACTCTAAAAAGCCTATTCACTTCGGAGATCAATCCTGGCCACTACTCTTCAACATACTGACTGCAAGGAATCATCTGGAAGGGATCACAAATAGCTGCACCATCCCCTCCCCGCCCCCCCCCCCACAAATGTTCTGGTATCTAAGAGCTTGCTCTATACATGTGATCTCTAAATGAGGCGGCTCAACCACCGAGACCTCACCACCAGCAGAAACCACAGAAGAGCTGGGTGCCTTGACGGTTCACACCGGTAATCCTCGCTCCTGAGGAGGCCGAGCTACGAGGACGGCGGTTCGATGCCCCCCCCCCAGGCAGCCAAGTCCCTGAGACGCTCATCTCCAACAACCTAGACGTGGAGGCGCGGCTCAAGTGGTACAACCCCAGCCTAGAAGCGAAGAAGAAGGGGCGGCCCGACTTCCGGCCACCCGGCCCCTCCCTGAGGTGGGGGACCCCCCCCCACGAGAGATCACCCCGCCCCGAGGAGAGGCCCTTACCTGAGGGCAGGCCCGCGCTCGGCGCCGCGGGGGGCTGCGGGCCGTGCAGCGTCTTG